GGGCACAATGTTACCATAAATAAAAAATACATAATTTGCTTCAATATTCACTGTGCAGAAGAATCAAAAAAAAGATCAAAGACTTGAAATATTTTATTTAGAAGACAAAATATGTTACCAACTTACCAACTACTATTACTAGATCGTGTGCAATTACTATAAGTGGAGAAAGGTAACTGAGTTTGTTATTACTAAAGGTCAAACTAACAGCACTTTGCCAAATTATGTACATTTAGGCGATACAATATGTTTAAACTGTTACAATGGAATCGTAACAAGAAGCTCAGCTATATTCTAACAACATGCTCAAACAAATACGAAACAGCCTGAAACTGATGAGATTGATGAAGCTATTGAGAATACTGATGAAATTGAGAGTGCTAACTCTTGTCTTTTTCTAAAGCAATAGAGATGATAACAAACATTATATATACTCGTGAAAATAGAGATTTAGAGAAAACTTTGCACACACACCTACACGGGCAGTATATGAATATCCTGCATGGGATATTACAGTTTTGACAAAAAATGCCTGCATTCTTTTGCAATGTTTTTCAGAAATTTATTCACATATATTTAATCATAACTCACTAATAACATTTCCATTACAGACATTACAGACCATAACATCTTTGAGGAAAAAAGACAAAGAAAAAATTGATGATGTCATTTCATTGACTGCAATGAAAATGCCAGAAGCACGATTACGTCACCTTCCTTTGGGTTTTAGTACTTTGCATAAACCAGATCCACTTCATTATTGTGATGCTAATTTTTCAACCAATACAGAACCGATTAAAATCCTAGCTTGTGGCCATACTTATCATACATCCTGTTACAACAATAATGGGTCAAAATGCTTGAATTGCCTATTATTCTTACAAAATGGTATCAATGAACATGTTAATGTCTCAATGAGCGAGTACAGGTTGAAGAGATCTCTGTGATGACAATGATGAAACCGAACCAGTAGATTATGTAGCATATGCGTTGGAGCAGGAATTTCAATTGCAATAAAAAATTTGATATTTATACCTTGAGAGATGTAATGTTAATTTATTTCGCATCTGTTAATTTCTTTTATTATTATGTATTTTTACAATAATTAAAGTACTTGTTCAT